CCCCAACCCCTGCTCGCAGCACAACCTGGCCCAACATCCCTGCCAGGAACAGCCCAGCTGTGCCCCAGCCCAGCATGCCACGCCCTGCATGCAGATCAGGGGGCACATGCTGTCCCCCCCGGTTTGCATGCAGCAGCGGGAGCTGCCCCCAGCTGAGCCACTCATGACTCTGTCCGGCACTCTGCTCCAGCTGGGCAGTGCCTGCCTCAGCCCCTGCCCCATTCCCTCCCTCACCACAGGTGCTTATAGGAATGCAGCTGGGGGGGGGGGGGGGGGGAGGAAGAGAGGCCTGCAGCTACCCCAGTTTGCCGTAGCCCCCCTCACCCCCCTCCCAGCACCACTGCTGTCCAAACACAGCCTGCCCCATCTCACCCCGTCTGCAGATCTGGAGGCACACCCCCCTGCATGCCCCTGCTCCACTCCCCCCCCCCAACTTACCTGCCAGACCCAGCTGTTCTCCACATGGCCAGGCTGTGCTCCTGACTGCCCCGTGCAGCGCTGCACCTGCGCGTGTGCACACACAGGGTCCTATGTACCCCCTACAACCCTTTTAAGTACCCCTAGGGGTACGCATACCCCCAGTCGACAACCATTCCTTTAAGGATCTGTTGGGTGTACATACAGCTCCTGCTAATGGTTAGGCTGTAGATCCGAAAGGGTTCTTGTTGCTGCGATTCTGCGCTTGCAGGGTTGAGAAGGGGCAAGGCGGCAAGTGGCCAATACCGATCTTCCGGTTTTATAGTCTGAGGGTCAGTGTTGGCATTCTCTGAACATGCCTCCCTTGCCAGTACTTTCCATATGCAGTGGAGCACTTAAACACCTGTTCTAAATGACTCAAGAGGCCTTTGACTGCCAGACAGACTTAGTCTATGTTCACTCTGGAGAATAGTCTCCAGCAGCAGGTACTGCCTCCCAGGTGCTGAGCCCTTCTAATAGTCTCCTTGGAGGAAAGCAATTCTAATTCAGCACAAGTAGAGAGAGGGGTAGCCCAGCTCATACTAGTTTTCAGGGTTTGTGGTTTAAACCAACCCCTACAACTCAGAACCACCCAGATTTGTACTCAATGATAAAGTTACCTCCATGCCCTAATGCAAGCAATCAATCAACATGCCCAGGGAATGGTGACGTGCTAAAGGAACATAGGAACTTCACACTCGCTGCATGAGCTGCAGATTTGTTAAGCAAATGAGAGCACTGCAATACTCACCTTGCATTAGCCTGTGCAGGACCTTGAACCAAAAAAGAGGGTCACCAGTTACTGACCTGTTCCTTTGGGAGGTCCAGAGCCAACATAGTCAGACAGGACTTGCCCACTTTTGATGTCATTTCCTTTCATGTTGGTCACAAGAAAGTGATGCCATTCCCTAAAAAGCAGATCAGACACAAGTTAGACGCTGCAGCCTCTCCTGATGACCGCGCTTTCCAGGGCCAGGCATGCACAAAGCAAGCGCCAGAACTAAATTCCTCGCCCCGCTCACTCTTGGTCCTGAGCCAGTCCTGACAAATTTGCCCTTGGAAATAATTAGGCAGGGGTAATTTCACACAAGCACAACGGGTTTGGGCAAAGCACGAGGGGGCAGCGCAGGCAGCTCTTCGCTGCGAGTAACCCCTGTTGCCACAGCCTGGGCGTGCAGGGGCTTGCGGAGGACAGTCCTTCGCTAGCGCAGGAGCCCTGGGGGTCAGTCCCAGGCTCTCGTCTCGCTGCAGGACTCATGCCAAGTTGTGGGACTTTTTTAGGCCTCTTTTCCGCCAAAAGACGCAGCACGGCGGGTTGATAATGGCTGAGCAGCAACCAGGCCGGGCCCCCCAACCAGGTACCTGAACTTGGGGTCCTTCCTGCTGGGCGCGTCGGGGTCGGTCAGCACCAGGGTGTACAGCTTCTGCGGGTCGCAGCCGTCCCACTCGATGCTGGTCGGGCGGCTCTGCACCTGCGGGGAGGGGAACCCGGCCCGGCCCGTGAGACCCGTCCCCGCTCCCGCCCGCCCCGCACTCGGGCCCGCGAGCAGGCCGGGGCCGCGCT